AGGACCGGTGTAATGTGCTCCCGAGGAGAGGTACGAGTGAGCACACGAGCAGCAGAGTTCTGTATATACTGTAGCCTGTTTAATGATTTTGCTGGAAGGCCAGCAAAATTGTGTTACAAACGTGTACGCACAGAACAGAGGGGCGGGGTGAGCAAAGCTGATGATCATTTAAAGTCATATGCACTGAAACGGCGTGCTGAAAACAGAGCTGTTTTTGACCAGGTAAAATAAGTGTTTTCTTACAATACTAATGAGAATTTTTAATTAAAGTATATTACAAACTTTTAATTTAGACCCTAAAGAATCATATTAGCTTGTACAAAAATGGCATTATATGACCCCTTTAAGGCACTTCTTTTGGCCGAGATTAAAAGCTGATGTCACACAATTTTGTCGCACCTGCCGTACATGTCAGATTACTGGTAAACCGAACCAATCCCACGTGCTCCTCTTGTACCTATTCCAGTGATGGGAGAACCGTTTGAGCACGTTATTGTTGATTGTGTCGGCCCGTTGCCTAAGTCTAAGACTGGCAGTCAGTTTTTACTGACTATCATGTGTACTGCGACTAGATTTCCAGAAGCAATTCCGTTGAGGAAGATCACTGCACCTGTGATAATTAGAGCACTTGTGAATTTTTTCTCTACATTTGGTTTACCGAAAATTGTGCAGACAGATCAAGGCACTAATTTTCTGTCGAGAATTTTCTCTCAAGTGTTGTCTAGTTTGAATATATCCCACAGAGTTGCTAGTGCTTACCACGCTGAAAGTCAGGGGGCGCTCGAGCGTTTCCACCAAACGCTGAAAGCCATGCTCAGGAAGTATTGCATGGATACGGGTAAAGAGTGGGATGAGGGTGTACCGTTACTTTTGTTTGCGATCAGAGAAGCAGTTCAGGAGAGTCTTGGTTTCAGCCCTGCTGAATTGGTATTCGGACACACTGTCAGAGGACCCTTGAAAATGCTCAAGGAAAATCTGTTGTCTTTTGAGTCTAACCCTAAAGTGAATGTGATCGATTATGTGAGTAAGTTCCGTGAACGCTTGCACAATGCATGTTCGGTGGCAAGAGAGTCACTTGAAGTTGCTCAGAAAAAAATGAAATGTCATCATGATCGTAAATCTGTACCCCGTACCTTTAATAAAGGCGATCAGGTGTTGGTGTTGCTGCCTATGGTAGGTTCTGCTTTATCAGCACGATTTTCTGGACCATATGAGGTGGTAAGAAAAATTAGTGATACAGATTACGTTATTGGAACTCCTGATAGAAGGAGAAAGACTTGTGTGTGTCATGTAAATATGCTGAAGACTTTTCATAACCGAGAAGCTGGTCAGAATGTGTCATCTACAGATGAAATCCCCACTCCTGTGTCCTCTGCTGTGATAGTTGCTTGTGCTGCTGTCGAGATGGCTGATCTGTAAGATGATGGGATAATCCTGCGTCATTCTCATCAACAGTGTGCTCGACTGAAGAACTCAGAGGTACTATCTAATTTTGCATCTCGAGTATTTCATTTACCTGAACAACAAGGATGTGATATTATGCAGTTGATTGATGATTTTCCTGCTCTATTTAATGATGTACCTTCCTGTACTACAGTGTTAGAGCACGATATTAACGTGGGTGAGGCTGTTCCGATCAAACAGCACGCGTATCGCGTGAATACTGTGAAGAGAGCTCTGATGCGGAAAGAGGTTGAGTATTTGTTGGAGCATGGACTTGCTCACTCCAGTTGTAGTCCATGGAGTTCTCCGGGCTTACTGGTGCCGAAGAGCGATGGTACGATGCGATTTTGTACTGACTATCAAAAGGTAAATGCGGTAACTGTACCGGACTGTTTTCCATTGCCGCGCATGGAAGACTGCGTTGACAACCTCGGTTCAGCTCGATATGTCAGTAAATTAGATTTGCTAAAGGGTTACTGGCAAGTTCCTCTTACTCCTCGTGCTTCTGACGTTTCAGCATTCGTAACACCTGACAGTTTTATGCAGTACTCCGTGATGGCGTTCGGCATGCGAAACGCACCCGCCACTTTTCAGCGTTAGAGTAGACCAGAATCTGATTATTGATTTAAGATTGGAAGAGTTATATTATGTTTACAAAAGAGCCGAGACACACAGAAACCGTATTACATGTTTTTTTACTGAACTTCTTTCTTTCTTCACACCCACGCATGCGCACACCATAAAACCTCGCACAGCTGATTCTATAACAACCAACACAGCTAGTTTACTTCATAATAGTAGCCCCCCTTGTTATTCCCCTAACAGTGTGTAAATAAATGATTTTAGTTAATTATGTGATTGTGCACACAACAAGTTAGTGTGTATGAGTTTTAATATTACCTCGTGCCATTGTCTGTCTAATTGACTGCTGATGAAAATCCAAGAGACAATTTCTGTAGGAAAGTATTGACCAACAAAGTCATGCTGCAATGAGGATCTTGAACTTTTCTATCACACTTTGACTAGTATTATGAAACTATGACATCGATCATCAATTCTAGATTCCATGGGAATCAACTTTGTGCCAGATGGAAAAAAAAACAGGTTTTTTTGAACAGGTTGTCATTATCATCAGTTTTGCTTAACATCAAAAATATATACAAATAGATGTTTTGCAAAAAATCATTCATTGCATACACTAACTTTAAAACTCTGGCCAATACCAATAAGCCGATAACTAAGTATGCTTCATGTTATGGTTGATAACCAATAAATGTATTATTAATTTGTACTGCAAAAAGAAAGAAAGAAAACTTAACCACTAGGCCTATAACTTTCATGCTACAATTAAATGTAGGTATCCGAAGTCACCATGAAGTTACAAGTCTTTTCTTCCATAATGTGACTTATATCCAGGGACGGATTATGACTTGTAAAGGGCCTGGGGCCGGCCAGGTATCTCCAAAGGCCCCCCCTCAGTGCGATTATAAAATCTCTCAAGGGCTGCAATTTTATTCGGTTTTTTTATAAATATAATGCACAGTGTTGACGCTGCCAAATCTCGCTCATAGTGTTGACACTGTTCTCCGTTTTTTTCACGCAATGAAAAATGACATAGAGGATTTCAAATGCAAAGAGGACACTGACATCGATAAACAAGACAAGGCAGGTTACTTATTATATGAAACAAAGTCTCAGCTTTCAAATTATGTCAATTTTATTACGAAATTCCAACAATAAATACTGTTTTGGCGCTCTTTATGACGTGCCAGATCAGCACCTCGGTTCAAGCATCACGTCCTGCGAACTGATCTAAAGTTCTTCTTTAGTAGTAAATCAATTCGAATGAACTATGTTGGCAGATACAGTAGCCTAGAACTTGCTGAAATGTGTAATTTCTCATGTAATCACTCAACCAGTGCTTCAACCGCGGAAATAGGTCAATAAAACAACTGGAGAACAATAGCCTGTCACATAACGTAACATTTACCTCAGAAAAGCCATTTAATGACCACAGCCTATAGCTAGAAAAATTAACTAGGCATATTGAGAGGATCATTTTTGCTAAATATATGCACTATTACATATTATAATTTTACTCATTTCATTCAAATATTATAACGTTATTATAAAAACCGCATTATATTTGATTTGTTAATTTTAACCTGTAATAATAATACCAACTCCCTGTAACCTTACAGCATTAGTGAGAGATTTTTCCTTGAGAAAAATTAACATGTAATATAAGGTAGCCTACCTGATATTTATCCAAATTAATTGATGTAAACATTGTTACATGTTGTTACTAAACTTAAATTATGTTTGGTCAGCAAATGTTTTGAGAATCACAATACACTTATTGTGATGTTTTTTTTTTTTACAATCCTTTCTAATGATGTTCATAGGCTGTCTGCTGAACATGGGTTTGAGCTCTTATATTTCTGAACTCTAAAAGTTCAGATTAATGCATTTAACTTTAAAATGTAGAAAACTTTTCTTGCCCCTGGATCTAGAAGAACTGAGGTCCACCCCTCATTAGGGCTGTCACTTTTGAGAAAAATCTAATTCGAACAGATATCAAATATCAAGCAATGTATTTGAATATCTACTTTTTTATTTGAAGGTGCATCTTTTACAGGCGTTCAAACAACTGTAGAGTGAAGGGTGTACGTTTTTACTTTTTACAGTTCAAATTTAATAACTATGCTAAAACATACTCTATTGCTCTCTCTAGGCCCATTTTGTTGGATCATTTATAATTAGGCAATAAAACATTATGCAAATAAAAAATTAGGCGATGTTTAAAAATGTAGTCTAGTTATAATGTAATAATAAATAGTTATTTTTCCAATACTTTTCACACACAAAAATAAGCTCAAAGAGTGACAATAGTTCTATAAGAGGTTTTGGGGCCTTCATATTCACATAGGGCCCAACAGTAAGTTCCAGGGAGCCCTCAGAGTCCAAGAGCCTTGTTTAAGAGGCCTTGTGTAGGCTATGAGACAGATATATTACAGCATTAATAAACATTTGTTTTATAAATGATTTAACTGTGAACGTCATTTGCACTTGTAATTTATTAATCAAAATAACATCCCCTACTACTTCCAGCTACATTCTCTGATGAAGTGTTTACTGGTGTGCGGGTGGGACAACCTTTCAATCACAGTGATTGTTAATGGGTTTTCTGAACCAAACTGGATTGCGCGGCCTTAAACCCCAGCCCACCCCCTGGGCAGTAATCCATCCCTGCTTATATCTAAGAAAACAGCTGCTTGAACAACAAAAGATGTATTTAATAATTTATAATAAATGCTGCAATCTATACAAAATAGGAATGGTAAGTTTTGATTTCATCTATCAGCATCCCAAAGTTTAGGTTACTGCATGATCTAAATCTCTAAACAGGAAGTATAGCCGATAAATGTCCAATGTTGGATACTGATGTGGTGCCATGCCAATAGTGATTCCTCAATTTCAAAGCCCTTTAAAAACAAAACAAAAAAAAACATACAAATATTTTTGTCCATTTGCAAAATAGAATATCATTCACCTCATTACTTTTGAAAAGTATCATTTATTTATTCACAAATCAAACCAGTCAGATTTACAGAAGTGGGTACTAGGCTATTGATTATTTCCAGCTAAAGTAATCGTTCGCTGCAGGCTGCATTAATAGATGCGCTATAAACATCATGAAGAAGGGCTTTGGAACATTTTTTTTTCGACAAAGAAAAAGGGTTCATCAGACCCAGTAAAACGCAGTAAAACAGTCTCCAGGACGCACACCAGGAACATAAAGAATATGTGCCAATTGTCCTTAAGGACGGTGTGCTTCACTCAGTGCGCGCCCTTCTGCACCATCTGCGTGAAGCGGTTAGTGATTGAGAGCGTCGTGTCGATGAAACGCTCCACGCAGCTAACGAGACAAGTCTCAGTTCGTGAATCCAACTTAGAGCTCGGTTTTTCCATACACTTATCCCAGCAAACATCTGTAAAGTTATGAACCTATGAAAAGAGCGTTAAACACTGTTAAGGCCACCACACTTGCGAATAACGTTACTAGTGTTGAATGACAGCAAAGCGGTACTGAAAAGTTACCTGGGCTTGAAACTGAGCCTTCTGCTGCTCCACCGCAATCAGACGCTGGAGCTCCGCAGATTCCGCGTTTTCAGATAAACTAGCCGACGGCATGTCAAAGCTAGAATTAAAATCAGCCATGGCAAGACTTTACGAACAGATTATATGCACAGGAACATGTGAAGGACAAAGCTACTGCGCTCGCTGACTGTCGCTGACAGGCATGGACGTTAAGGGAACTACTTCCGCCGCAGAAATATGACGTCATGACAAGGATGAAATTGAAATGGATGTATCAGTAGGCAGAACATTTTACTGGAATTCACAGCTGGATGATATAAACTGGAAAAAAAAACATGGCTTTTACCTCATACATTTTGCATTTCTAACAAGGTAAAAGAAGTTCATTTTAAAATCTTACATAAAATTTATCCTATAAATTATATAATATCCAAATATATGGATGTTGATAGCTCCTGTTCCTTTTGTGGACGCGCTGATGAAACTTTTACTCATCTTTTTTTTCATTGTGATTCTACAAAGAAGTTTTGGTCTGATTTAAATCATTTCATATTCCACCCTCCCATGATAATTGATAAATTTTCTCTCAAGGATGTAATATGTTACTATGATAATAGTAAGGATCAATCTCTTACTCATGTGGTTAATTTTTGTATTTTATTGGGGAAATTTTTCATTCATAAACAGAAATTCTTAGGGTCTCAACCCTCATTCCCTTTATTTTTAGTGGAATTTAAATTACATCTTAATTCTCTTACCCTGATAGATTATTGTGATTAACTTACCCTCTATGTATTGTTTGTGTAAGATGAATTTTCTACTTTCTGTGGTTGATACTTTTATTTGTATCCTTTTACCTTACTTATATGGAATAATTGTATTCTATGTATGTATATGTTTGTGTGTGTAGATTTATATATATATAATTTACTTTTTTTATACGTATATATTTGTAATATAAGGAATGTGTTGATTCCTTGAATTTTGTTTTTGTGTAAGTATCTGACTTATTTTTGTAATTTAAAATAAATTTAAAAAGAAAAAGAAAAAAGAAGAAAAAAATGTATCAGTAGGCAAAATGCTAGCAATTTTGTTAGCAGTGCAGTGGATAGAGGAAATAAAACCATTGAGAGTTATTATTTGTTTAGATTCAACTTCATCACTAAGGTGGCAAAAGCAATGGAAGGAAGAGAGGAAAGGACGGTGGTTTTACAAAATTCAGAGGAGACTGGGAGAAATGAGATGTGCAGGAAGGAACAGGAGAGAAGAGACACTTATCAAGACTTAGATTTGGGCTCACAGGATTTAACAGCACTTTATTCAAAATAGGTAACACCGTGTGTGAATACTGTGGGCAACAAGAGATATTAAAACACGTCATGGTACACTATAAGAAATATGAGGGAAAAAGGAGGGAAATGATCCAAAACCTTTGAATGGAAAGAATACATTTTGAATGAATAGAAATACTTAGAAAGAACTCAAGTGGTGCTATGGAATCGATTTTCATTATCTTAGAGCAGTGGTCTCAAACTCGCGGCCCGCGGGCCGGTGATATTTTGTGGCCCCTTGACATTAAAGTTTAATGTTAGTAGCGTGTGCCGCGTTTTAAATATATATATATATATATATATATATATATATATATATATATATATATATATATATATATATATATATATATATATATTTTTATATATATATTTTTATATATAAAAATATATATATTTTTATCCCTTATGGGCTACCATAGATAGTCTCATGACAGCTTACGGTGGGTTTGTTGTCAATAGTTGTCAACCGCGAAGTACAAACTTACTGCGCCTGGAAAAAATGAGCGCGTCGCTTATGAGCGCGCTTGGCGCGTGCCTACATTTGAAATAACGAACTTGAGCACGCAAAATATGTGAGCGCGATATGTGAACATGCCACGAGCTACTGGTAGCTCGCGAGCGACGTGTTGGAGGCCCCTGCTCTAAAACAATGTGAGAATAATCATTTTGAGCTTGTAATATGTGTCCAGCAGGTTGATAAGAAGGTTTGCTTTGATTTGTGCAAAGTCAGTAATTTGCCTGAGATACTATACATGTGTAGAAATAATTATATAAGGCTGAATTCACATTTAGCGCCCAAAAACGCGTAGAAAACGCTAGGCGCGCCGCGTTCTCCTTTTTCCAAAGCGCTAGGGCGGTTGCGCTCCGTAGGCATCTGTCGTTGCTAAGCTACGGTGCGCTTGCGGCATACTGAAAAGTTGAGATGTTTTTATCTCGATACGGCGCGCACGCGCTTGGAAAAAACGAGCGCGTCGCACCACGACCGCGTCGCTTCCATTATGAGCGCGCATACCGCGCACCTACATTTGAAATAACGAACTTGAGCGCGCAAAAGACGCGATATGTGAACAGGCCCTAAGACGGGCAGACATGACTGCAAATATTTGTATTTCAAAAGCAATAATCGTTTTTCTAAGTATAATAAAAGGAAATGTGCCTTCCAAAAAAACATTCAATATCATTAATGTGTTGTATAAAGAAAATAAAAAGGACATAAGCAAATATAAGTATCACAAATATGTGTTATAAGGAAAAGAAAAATAATGTTTGTAAAATGAAGTATCACAAAGATTTTGTGTATAAGGAAAATGAACTTCAACTGTCAGAAGGACAGCTCATGAAGATTGGATCAGTTGTACTCCTTTTTTGGAATACTTGAATACTATTTTTTGTGGAATACTTGATGCGGCCCAGCCTGACCCAGACTCTCCCTTCAGCGGCCCCCAGTTAAGTTGAGTTTGAGACCCCTGTCTTAGAGTAATCAATATGATTGAGTCTTATTTTTATTTTGTTTATTATTTATTATTTTTGTTTTGTTGATTTTGTTTTGTTGATTTGTTTTGATTTGTTTTGTTGAATTGTTTTTGTTTTGTTATGTTTGGAATAAAATAAGTAGTAGTCATTCAGATCCACACTCCATAACAGTTGGTGGCGGTAATACACCATTTCGTTGTGTGCCAACCGCCAAAAAAATTCCATAAAGAAGAAGAAGAAGAAATTGAAATAATTCTGGCGGCTTCTTCTCCAAATTAGGTGGTCTGTGTCTCTTTATTTGCAATTACAACATTTTCAAAATCCCTCTGAACTTACCTTGCTTTCAAAAACGAATGTTGCTGCCTTGGTCCTTGCTATATAGGCATAACCTTTCACCCCGGCCCATAGGTAATTTGGAACAATTGATAGCCTATATTATTTTTAAATAAATCTTTATTTTTTTAAAGATGTTTTTAGCAGTCATAATAATCGAACAATTATTAAATCAAGAAATCCATAATGTCCATACATTTCCAGTGACACCAAGGGAGTTTTCTATTGTTATGGATGTGATTCCCACAGGGGTCATGTAATCAAAATTATAAAAAAAATAAAATAAAAAAATAAAAAAAACATTTAGGCCCAACGAATTCCCATTTTATATATTTATAACACTAGCCTATGATATGTGAGTTATCACACCAGCAAGAGTGCTGTTTTTCCGAACATCTGCACAATCGCAAATGTGACAAATACAACAGTTAAATAAACAAACTGAGTAACTTTTATAGATATATTCTACAGCAGAACCGCCCGTCGAGCAACACGTGTTTTGTTCCTCAAAATATCTGCATTTCTGACAGAATCAGACTGTGACGATGATCGGCTGCATTGCCCTCGAGTGCCAGGAGAGGGCGCTCCACTTCTGCACTGCCTTTCTTGGACTGTTCACGCACACACCCTGGACTGATTACTCGCACACCTGTTTCCATTGATCACTCTCACACCTGCATCAAGTTCCACACGCAGCTCCACAGACATTTAGGCCCCACTCACACTATTACCCTTTGCGAAGTCTTGTTTCATTGTTGTGTACATCTCCGAGCGTTTCCTAGTTTTCCAAGTCTGTTATCCTAGTCTAGTCTGTTCCTGTCTGTGTATTTGACCCATTGCCTGTTTCCCGGATTCCGTCTCGTCTGCCGCCTGCCTCTGTCATCTCGCCTGGTTTCTGATCCTGAGTATTGCCTTGTCTCCTATGCTGTGTCTGCTGTCTGTGACCATTGCCTGTCTGACCATTCTATTAATAAACCTACGCTGCATATGGATACATGTCTCTGGTTGGTTGTTCATGACACAGACTAGTAAATGATTCAATTAGGCTACCCATTCATACATACAGTCGTTTGCTAGGTTAAACGAATTAGGATTTTTGAACGAATCGGTTGTAGGATTCAGCTCCCTCATTAAGATGGGGGTGTTAGTTTCATAGTTAAAAACTCATTTCATTTAATTTTTTTTCAATCATTTCATATTTCTACAATAAAAAAAAACATTTAAAACATAATTTATGCAATTATAATTTGCTGTGTAAATCCATACATGCCATGTCTAAACAGCCTGTGTCAATCCAAATGGATTTTATTAATACCGTCTTTGCATTCTGATTGAATTTGTTGACTAAATTTAAGAATCTGACATAAGAGGACAGATAGCTATGACAATGAATTTAGAAATACTGTTTTCTCTTGGCTTTATTATAAGAGTTTTGATCTTCTCTCAACCGAGAGAGCACATCCTGCATTATATTGTATTATAATGACTATTTAATATTAGACAACCACTAAACTTTGACTCATGTTGCATATTAATTGTTCTAGGAACCTCAAAGCATATTCAAATATTTGTGTAATTTGTGCTACTCCATAATGATGTTTGTAGCGTAAGTAGGGCCCAAACATAAACTCAAGCCCTGGGGCCCCCAGTCCCCTACGTCCTGCCCTGGGTCTTGACATTAATCAGACCTAATACCCGAAACAGTATCGCGCCCCCTTCTACTTTTGATTGATTTGATAAGCCTACTACTGCAATTGGGAAACTTTGTTTTGCCCCCATCTATCTATACATTACAACGTCTGTCTGTGTGTCTGTCTGTCTGTCTGTTAATCGAATATCTCTCGAACCGTTAGTCCGATGGATTTTAAACTTGACAGGTGTCTTGCTACGTGCACGAGTAAGTGCAGTGCCGAGTTTGACGTTGTTTGGATTAGAAATGCAAAAGATATTGTTAAATATACATGTAAAAGAAGCATACATTGAAGTTGTGGTTTAAAAATATACATTCTGACATTAGAGAGGGTTGTGGTTTAAAAATTATGGTTTAAAAAATAAACA